GAACGTTTCAAACGTTCCATATTTAAATTGGGCTCCACTTGTATCAACTTACGTCGAGCGCACATTTAATACATTCAAGGCTTTTCTTCGCGAAAATCGAATGAAAATGCTGCCAGAAAACTTCAAAATGCATCTTGTGGTTCAATGTTACTACAACTATATAGATTAAAGTTTTATGAGTTAGAAACTCGAAAGGATAAAATAGTCAAAGATTCAAAGTACAAATTTTTCATGTAATGAAACTAGTTCATAGTTTTTCTCTTTTTACTTGTAATATAAACTTTTCTAAAATAAATGTATGTATTTTTTGATTGTTCTTCGTATTTTCTGTCTTTTTTTAGTGCCATATTTTGCTTTTTTTGCAATACCTAGTGCCTTTTCCTGCCTTTTTCGCTATTTTGTTTTGCCTTTTTTGCCTTTTTTGCGATACCTAGTGCCTTTTCCTGCCTTTTTTGCTATTTTATTTTGCCTTTTCCAGCCTATTTCGTCATTTTATTTTGCCTTTTTTATAGGGTTTTAGGTCCTAAACATCCGTGCCCTGATCATAACCTAAAAGTGCTAAAAAGACGGTTTTTGCCGATATTTGAGGTTATATTATGAGAACAATAAATTTGTTTACTCTTCCCCTTTAAATTTCATTTTCGTTTTGTGCAGGGACCGTAAATAACAGTTACTTTTTTCAACAGTTAAACTTGGCCAGATATTTTTAAGTAGAAAATTAAAGTCTTTTCCTGATAATAAACAAACTGCTTATCCAAATTAAACAAGTTTGGTATCAACTGAAAGAGGACGAAAACAGCTTTAAAATTGAAATGTTTAAATGAGAAAAGCCAGCGATTGAAAAATATTTAAACGAAAAATGTTTTATAATTACCATAAAACAAACCTTGGATCAGGTATATGCATTTCTTTTGTATTAAATTATAAAAAAAATATAAATAGAAGTGGTAACCTTCGTTCGTTATTTCTGTCTAAAGGCTATTAAAGCCCTCTTTCATTTGGTACCAATTTTTTTTATATTTAATTTAAGCGGTTTGTTTACTATCCGGAAAGACATTTATTTCGGACTTAAAAAATATCTGGCCAAGTTTAACTGTTGAAAAAAAAAAAATAACTGCAATTTACGGTCTTTGGTTTTGTGCGATTCGAATTTTATTTCTCGAGATGTATCAGTTTTAATGTGCAGTACTTCGATGTTAGCAATGATCACTCATGCTTGCAAACAAAATTTTACCACCTGAGCAAAACATATCGTTTCTGGTGGATTTACTGGTGCTGAAGCCAAATCTGGCCGCAAAATTGCTCTAGCACGTCAGATTTGGATTCAGCGCCAAGAAATCTACCAAAAACGAGTGTGTTTTACTCAGGTGGTAAAATTTTGTTGAACTGTGTTATTATTGAATAGGTTAAAGAGATGTGGAATCGCCGCCATATTGGAACGACGGGTGTAGACATTATTCGCAATTTACATCGATGATCTTAATTTTTTCGAAAAAACTCAAGAATACTTTTTTGTTGGACGAGAAAAACCTAAATTTTTTGTTTGTGAATTTTCTGCCATCATTATTTTGCATGTTTTGGACAGAGGATTTTCCTAAATCCGTCAGCTAAATGAAACCAGGAAGAGTACCCTTCCAGCGAGATGGGCTCATTTTTATACCATTTTTACTGTATAATTTGTACAATTAAATCCTATGAAATTGTAAAATGGATACGATACGATTAGCTTAACAAAAGATAATGAATTTTTAATGTGGTAAGACAAGCGAAGTCAAAGCCTTCATATCTTAAACAAATTTTTTAAAGAATTCCCCATATATGAGCCCGTTGTTTTGAAAGTGGCATAAATCATTTCATGGCGTTTGACTTCAATGATCATATACCTGCGTCTTAGCGCTCTATTATTCGTTCAACTTCATCAGCAAAAAGTAAACAGTTTTGTCTTTAATTTGTGACGGCAGAACAATTTACAGATTCTTTATTACGTACAATTTGCAAAATAATGACCATGTACAATTTTCCTGTTTGCATTTTGTGCTTATCAGATTTTAAAATGTTTTTATCCCTTCTGTGATAGATCACAAAACCATAAACATCAATTCAATAATAATTAACAATAAGCTCAATATAATATATGTATGTCTTTGTAGTATGTATTTCCTAGCCGTTTTGCTGTGAAACACTTCTCCTGCACACTTAACAATATCGCTTAATCGCCTTATATCAGATTAGAAATCATTATTCGTGATGAAGATTTATGAGGAATAAATTTACGAGCATTAAACACCTATGATGTAAGTACATTAGACCACGTCAAAAAAATAAAAAAAAACTGCAATGCGACCGGAGTAAGACTCAAATTTTAGCATTTTCTGTAGTAATAATCCTCCATGAATCTCTCCCCTCTAGGACAATTGTAAGAGGTCCTGCGTCGAGCATTTACTTTTCCCATAGGAATTACACGTAAGAAAATGAGTTTTTTCTTTTTGAGGTCAATGTAATTTTCTATGATCAATGAAAACGCTCACAACTGTAAGATTATTTAAATTCCTAAATTATCCTTTCTTAATCCCTTGTCCTATTTGGGTCAAATCAGGTGTATACCATTTCTTTTTTTTTGGAATTTAAGGAATCTGTGCCTGCATAATACTTAAATGGCATGTAATCAATGTATTCTTACAGTTCAGACCGTTTCAATTGATCGTAGAAAATTAGATTGACCTCAAAAGGAAAGCACTCATTTTCGTATGCGTAATTCCTATGGGAAAACTAAATGCTCGATGCGGGACCTCTTAAAACTGTCCTAGAGAGGGCAGATTCAAGGAGGATCATTACTATACCAAATGCCAAAATCTGGGTCTTATCCCGGTCGCATTGCAGAATTCTTTTTTTTACGCGGTCTAATATAAATACATACATATCGTCGATGTTTTGCAAAACCGCCCATCGACCAATTGCAAAACCGCCTATATTACGGCACTCAAATTTTACAGGAGAGCGATTAAACGGTTTTTCTTTGAAGGCATTGCCTTGATAGGCGGTATTTTCTCTAGCTATTATTTTATAAATCTGTTGTTTTAATAACGATTTTACGATTCTTATGCATAAATCTAGATGCCTGGAGTTCAGGGTTAGCAAATCTCATTTTTGTCGCAATGGCGATTTAGGCGGTTTTGCAACTGGTCCGATATGTATATCCATATTTTAATGGCATTATAATTGTATGAGCAATTCTATAACTATTACTGATCTAAAGAGATATACATACATATGTATTTGTAAAGTTTTTTTTTACCATTTAAAAAGTATTAAACGTATCGAATTATTTGAGGAGTATAAGAGTATTTCATTGGTGCGAGTGTCCCGAATGACATTTGTGCATCTCGGAAATCAGGAGGATGACGGGAAGAATATCCTCTGAAACGCGGGCCACCTTGACAGCGAGGCTAAACTGCGCTTTGGCAGTTAGGTTAAACTGTCAAACCATGGATTTATGGATAAACTTTAGAATTGTACGCCGGGTGGTACCCACACGAATGGAAATCCATCCGCACTTGCAGCAGTGTCGTGGATTCTGGACAGCCCGACCATGAGACAATTCTCCAGCGTTAACGCAAAGGAGAACATCCTTGAGAAGAGGGGAGTGTCTTTGCCTCTTCTCTCTCCTTCAGAGTCGGAGTCGGACAACCCGATTACAAGGGCTAACGACGATGGCGTAAGTTTGGATTAATTTTTTCAGAAGAGGAGGTGGAAGCGGTTCGCAAAATAGATGTGGAAGTACTTAAATCTGCTGTTTGGAGGTGGAAAAGTATGAGTCTAGTGACATTGCGTCTTTCTGCCTGTCCCGATGTTCTCTGGGAACATATCGATGACACTCGAAATGGTGTTACCGCTGCTTACGGGAACGACTTTGTCTTATGGCGTTTTCTTTTCTACAAGGAATATTGCCTTTTCATTGCCCTCTTCTTTGTAGTTGTGCGCAGAGAAGACAACATTTTTCGGTAGAATAGAAAATGTCATTAAAGTGTCCTTTCACTAACACCTAAAGCTTCGGCGTGGTCCTTTATGCCACCTGTGGACTTTAAGGAAATGGGTACTAGTAAGGTATAATACGGAGTGATGCGGCAATTGCTGGAAGCAGAGATTTAGACTTGAATGCTTTTTCAATGTGGAAAATAGTAGATAGAGAAGCAGGAGTTTACGTATCCTTAGTGACTGCCAAGATGCAAGGCATTGGCCAGCCCTCTAACTACTTCAAAACAAGCCCGGCACGCAAGTCTCGACTAATTAAGTATGTTGGCAACCCTAACAAACTTGTTTACTCTTGTTGCCAGGCCAATCGGGATCGGCTATGGACCCCTCATGAGAAACTGGGTGAATATTTCGCCCAGCAGATGGTACTACAGACAACTTGTCGGACGGTTGACTGGCAAAGTTTAGTAGCATAAACATCCGACTGTGATAGGCATACACGACAGCCTTATTTGCCCATTCTGCCTTAAAGAGGATGAGATGGCGGGACATTTTTTGTGCCTCTGCCCGGCCTTTACAAAACTTAGATCTGGGGCTTTTAGCAGCGATGTGTTAAGATTAGTTCTGACAAAAGAAAATGTTGTAGGGATTCTTTACAAACAGCGAACTAATGCATCATGGAGAGACGAGCACTTAGTAGGGGTTAATAACATTCCAAAGTTTTATTCTATTTTATGACAAAAATCACCAGTGATAACCTGTTTTAAAACTCTTAATCAACAATTCTGTGTACCAGCTTAAGAGCATTGAATTGACGAAACACATTATATCATCGCTGTTTGCAAAATAACTTAATATATGATCTGGATCTACTATATACAAGTGTAAATTAAAATTAAAAAATTAAAAATAAATAACTTTTTTTTATTTCTCAAAATGTTCTTTTTCAGATTTTTTCAAGCTGTCTCGTGCTACACCTTTCTTAAGGATATGTTTTGCTAACGAGACCTGGACATAATTATCGACGTCCACATCCGTCCGGAATCCAACAAAACTACCTCTTTTCAAAACTACCAAAAACTTAAAATATGGCATTCATAAATCTACCTTGCCGTAAGTACATTTGTATGTAAATAATATTTATGTAAAATAACTATTAATAAAATTCATTTAATTTCTTAAAAGATTTGTGTGAGCTCGCTGTTCAATATACGCGTAGACATGGCTAGATCTTGTTCATATAAATTCATTATTTGTGTATTTAAAAAAATGCAAAAGATATTTACAAACATCGAAGATTTAAAGAACCTTCATCGACATACATATTCAAAATAAATGGATTTTTAAACGCATTTGCGATCATTTTCAATCTGATTCGAATTTCATATTTTATTGAAATATTTTTTTAACATATATCGTGAATAACATACCAAAATATTATGTACTGAAGTAGACAAAGCACAAAATAAATGTTCAAAAAATTGGAAAATTTTTGGAATTTTAAAAAATATTATTATATTTCAGAATTCTAAGAATTTTCAAGGTTTTATACACAAGTCCCATGAACAAAATATTTTTCCGTCAATTTGTGATGTTTCACATCTTTACATTTTAGGATGGATTTCAGAATAAATAGACTTTCTAAAAACTCAATAATTTTGTACATTTCAAATTATTTTCATTTTACCAAAATTTATAGAATCTCCCAGATTTCGATAGTTTATGAAATTATGGAAATTATCATAAAAATAAGAAATCTCAAGAGATTTAATAATTTCATAAAATTCAAAATTTTGGAATTTTTGTTATTTTTTTAACCTGCGGGTATATTCAAACTTGCTGTGACTTACAACTATGTAAAATAGTACGAATTCGAAAATACAACAAAAAAAGTAAAAATTTAAAATTAAGCAATTTGAAGATTAAGTGAATTTGAAGGACTGATGGAAATTTTTCACCAGTGTATTATAATCATATGATACAAATATAATTTTTCAGAAAAATAACGAGATTGATCAATCATTGTGCAATTATGCAGGCGCAGATACGGTCAATAATTGCGCAATTTTGTAAATGCTCACGATGTTGCAGGAAAATCGCGTTCACGTGTTCGGCTTAATTCTTTTTTTTTCTACAAAAATGTATATTATCGTTTTAAAACTGGTACTCGTTCCTAAAGAGGTATTTTTACGATGTAATGTGGAACGATTTTCCGTCATCCCTTGTCAAATTTGGTTTGGAGACAAACCGGTTTCGGCGTTGTGCCATCTTCAGTGTCATTTTTCGTTCTGAATAGTTTCTGTTTGTCCGTCACTATTTATAGCCGTGTTAAATCGTCGTTGGTTCATAGTTAGGTACGTCTCAGCGGATTATATTCTTTCGTTCAACCAGTAGTTTCAGTTCTGTGTGTACATCCTCAGTTAGAAATTAGCTGTTCACCTCTTTTTTGATTAATTGTTGCATGGATTCGCAGGTAGGTAAAAATTAGTTATTTTCTTTCTCTGCGTTTCTGTAGTTTGGACCTGCATTTCATTGTTTATGGTAGTTGCAGGGTTTCTGTTTTGTTTTGCGTATAGTAGCCTGAGTGGTTCGAATAATATATCAGATGCGGTGTTTATTTGCTCATTTATTATTTTTCCGACGAACGTCTTTTGTTTGTATATCTCCATATTCTCTAATACGTTTAGGCGTTGTCCTTTGTGCTGTACATGGAGAACTTTGGCTGTCTTTCCTATTTTCATTGGCGTACAAAGGTTTTCAGCCATTTGGTTTGCGAAGTTCGATTCCGGGGTAGTAGAAGGTTTTAGAATTTTTTGTTGTAGTCCCTTATATGTTCACGATATCTTGTTTTTTTCTTGCGCCCTGTTTGTCCTATGTAACTATGTTGACATCGCAAAAAAAAATATAGAAAAAAGGTTTTTTCTTAACAGCGGTCGTCCCTCGCCAGGCAATGGCAAACCTCCGATTGTATTTCTGCCATGAAAAACAGCTTCTCATAAAAATACAATCGCCGTTCGGAGTCGGCGTAAAACTGTAGGTCCCTCCGCTTTGTGTGACAATATCAAGGCGCACGCCACAAGTCGGAGGAGAAGCACGGCCAAACACTAACATATGTGTAAGCGCCAATCTATTATTACTATACACAATACATATTAAATTCGGCGCATACATAGTATTGCGTGCTAAGCAGCGATAGTAGGTTCAGTAGAGTTTCGACTTAAAATTGTGTATGGATGTGTGTATGCACTGATATTTGTGATTTGGCACCCTGAAATTGTGCACATGGAAACTGTGCGTACGAAACAATGCATACGAAAAAAAAAAACCAAATAAATCATATCCAAAGTTTCGGTTGAAAACCGAAATAATGCATATGAAAAAAACCAAAATAATGCATATGAAAAAAACCAAAATAATGCATATATCCAAAGTTTCAATAATGCATATTAGAAAAACCGAAATTATGCATATGCACTCTTTCGTTTGAAAACCGAAATAACGCATATGACAAAAATCGAACTAATGCATACATGCACAGTTTCGACTCAAAACCGAAATAATGCATATGACAAAAACCGAAATAGTGCATTGAAAACGATCTTCTTTCAAGCATATAAACAAAAACCATATAATAAAAACCGAAAAAGTGCGCATGCACAGTTTCGGTTGAAACCGAAATAATGTCTAAATGCCCAGTTTCCATGTGCGCAATTTCGGTGCCCTTTGCGATTTTCATATTATTTATGTAAATAGAAAGCAATTGAAACTAAAACTTTTTAAAAAATTTAAATCGACATACATACATACATATAACCAACTTAAGAGCGTCACAAATATTGATCTTTGCAATAAACATATTTTCGCGAATTATTTGTTATCGGCCCCCAATGTTTTGGCAAGTAGTAATGTATTATGCGCTACCAATAATGCTATTTTTACAGCCACACGCTTTCTATGAAAACTTACAATCATAAGGACGTTTGTTCATACATATCTATGTATATGTACATACCCAGTGGGAAAGGTTATTTATTAATTTTGCTCGACCCTATTAAGCTGGCATTTCAGGGTACTATTTTATATATATATAAGGAAAATTCGAAGGTTATGGGGGGTGGCTCGAGCACCCCCTGCCCCTACCTGGCTACGTCCATGTGTTTACATACAAAATAAAAAATTTACAACCAAAATTTGGAGGTTATGTTGAAGCTGACAGAAGTTACCACTTTTTTACTAGAAAGCGATCCCGTACTTTTATTCTCTCGCCCTGAGCGAATTTTTATTTTTTGACAGTTCTACCCGATTTAGTCCGAGGAATACGGGATTGCACCTATTGTATACAACATGTCTGTCGTTGTAAACCACAATTATACCATCGTACAAAGTGGTTTAAAGCTGGTTCCTATACTACCATAAGATACAGCCAGAGAGCCACAAAAATTTCACCAAAAATGTGTGGCGAAACAAACAGAGACTGTCAACTGATAGCATGTATGTATGCCATTTTGCTCGCGCTCGTCCAACAGTCGCAATGGCCGACTGATAAGAGCGCTAGAGTGTCACTTGAGAGATCCGAGTTCGGGCAGGAGATATTTTTATATTTAATTGATTTTTTTTGTATTTTACTTATTTATTTTTTAATAAAAATCAGCTGCTAATGTGCTAGAAATGTTGGTGGAATATATTATTTTCCTCAATAAATAATAACAATAATAATAATTCTAATAATAATAATGTTTAACAAATTTTTTTTTCATTGAATTTTTATGTACTTTATTATCATAAAAATTCAATGAATAAAAATGTTTCGTTTTTGAAACATTAAAATCTTCAGATTATTTAAAAAGGAATTAAAAAAAAAAATCATTAAAAAAATCTCGCGCACGAGGACTTGAACTCGGGTCTTTCCAGTGGCACTCTAGCGCTCTGTTCACTCGGCCATTGCGACTATTAGAGCAGTGCGAGCAAAATGGCATACATACATGCTATCAGTTGTAATAAAGGAACAAAACATAAGTATTCGTACTAAATGTCTGTCACATCGAAATAGTATCAAAATCCATGGTATGCATACCATGGTGTACAAACCACATGTCTGTCAGGGCTATTACAGTCGACACCTGTCATCTTGAATTAATCTAAATACAGCCCATGCTTTAAGAAAGTATGTAATGTGTCGCATGTGGCTTTGGAAACCTTTAAATAGAATCAATAAATAAAGAAGTTAAACAACTGAAGAGTTCCTGACGCAGATTTTGAACCCGCGACCAATGAGGTGGTAGTCCAACACGTTTCCATTCGGCTACAACTACGTTGACATTACCTGGAATAAAGGCATGCGTTGTTAATATATTTTTTTTTGTTCTGTTTGTTTTGTCAAAAATTAGTTCCCTCAATGATTCGACTACACATTAATGCATTGCCTATTTTCCGACTGGGAAGTATATGTACTTTATGTATGTATGTATGTACATTAGGGTGATTTTTTTGGGCGACTCTTTTTTGTTTTGACTCCCACCTCGAAATTTTGTGGGAAATACCTAAAGAAAAGTTCCGTGAAAATTTGAGCCCTTAATATTAATATTAAGTGCAAAGGCGTGCAAAGATTTCCCGTTCGAAATACACGTAAAATTTGATATTTTTATGGTATAATCTTAGTCAATGATAAGGTTTCTTCAGAATTGAAGGCTATACAAACGTGTCTATTGCGGCGTAACCCTAACTCCCACCAGTGAGGTATTAACGGTCACTAAACTCAATTTTTTAATGAAATTCTCGTCTTTTGCTCTATCTCGTAAATAGAATGAGATACAGAAAAAATTTAAATGACGAACTTGTAGGACATTCAATTTCCTACAAAAAAGTCCAGGAACGCTACATCGCTTACATCGATATTTCTTGAGATATAGGGCCTTGAAGGTGAGGAAGTGTGGAATTTCCATGGATTATTGAGCTAATTTGTAGAAATTGTTGATTAACTTCAAGGCCAATATATCAAGAAATATCAATGTTAGCCACTTCGTGTTTTAACCTTTTTTTGTAAGATATTTAATTTCCTACGAGTTTGTCTTTCACATTATTACTGGAACTCCTGTTATTTACGAGATAGGGGC